CATGGGCACAGATAACGGGCATATCCCATCCGTCTCCGCACACTTAGTCTTCCTTCAAAGTAGTTAGACCTTTGGTCAGCTGCTCTCTCCTTTTCTCTCCCTCCCTCGCTCTCTCACCGGCTCAGAATAGAGATTCGAATCGGTTGTGACCGTCATGCTCACTGGGAAGCGGAATTGCCCGTAGACGGCTTTACTGGAGAGATGAAACGCTCCTATCATTGACCCTATCGCTGCTGTCACAGACCTGTCACCCTTTATAGAGACTGGACGATAGTGCTGACCACATAATAATAATATAATGAGATTTACGCTGCCCGGAGACAAACCAGAGTACTACGGTGTGAATACAGTCATGTAGGCATCGCGTTGCAATCCATGATCTTTCCCTCAATAGTAAATTCCATCCAGGGAATCTTCTTTGCGATATCGCGAGGCGAGCATTGAAGCCATTGTGCAAAGGGATTAGGCGGGCTACAGCATCGATCATATCGGTGTTACCGTGAACAAGCCCTGAGTACTACAGGTACTACATATATACACACGTATACAACGGATAACATACACTACAATGAAGACCGCTCGGCATAACGCGAAGGACTTGTGTAGAGACTGCCCTAACGCCGATCGACTAACATTGTTTGAGCTTGCTATCACACTCTATCCATCACAGTTTACCAGTACTCGTACATGTACATATACAACAACATCGACATTCCTGGGTAATTAAAACGCCAAACTTCGTGAATGGTATCGGAATATGCCAAAGTAAGTGAAGTACAAAGAGGTTTTGATCCTACCCCTGGCCCTCCCTGATGATAACATCACCTGGAGGATGCCAATCAAATGGCCCCAGGACACACACATACATGTACGTACACCACACACACACACACACACACACACACACACACACACACACACACACACACACACACACACACACACACACACCTCAGACCTCAGACCTCAGACCTGCCCATCGCGGAAGCGATGATAGCGAACAGCTATGTTAGACATAGCAACTTGTGCTGGGATTACACCATTCAACAGCTTGCAAGGCTGATGCACACACACACACACACACACACACACACACACACACACACGCACACACACACACACACACACACACACACACACACACACATGTACATACACACCACACACAGACGCGCGCACACACACACACACACCTCAGACCTCAGACATGCCCATCGCGGGAGCGATGATAGCGAACAGCTATGTTAGACATAGCAACTTGTGCTGGGATTACACCATTCAACAGCTTGCAAGGCTGATGAATTGACCGCCACTATTTTTAGCCTGGTATCCACCACACAGCTGTTTGAAGTGACTTTTTCTGGCCAGTGAATCCCTATTTTTCATTTTTCCATTTTTTCTTTTTTTCTTTTTCTTTTTCTTTTTTTTTCTTCTTTTTCTACACACACCACATGTGCACACCACATACTCCGGCATACACTGGCTGTTGGTAACCACCCAGGAGAATGAAAGAAAAGTCAGGAAGAGTCTGAGAAAGAGAAGAAAGACGTGTGTGACCATAATCGTCGGGAATCGAACCCGCAACCTATCGATTGGAAATCGCTGCACATACCACTGCACCATATGGGACACACACACACACACACACACACACACACACACACACACACACACACACACACGTGTGTGTACGTATCAGACCCATCCCCTCGATAGGGCGGAGCCTCCGGGCCTCTCATTATCTGTATGTGAGAATATTGCTAGTGCAGGCATATGCTGAGTGGACCCTTGCCCTTGGTCTTGCTCTCAACGAATTCATGTTCAGTATGGAATGCACCAGAAAATACTTGTGCTTGATACCATGCAGGTACAAGTACATTAAATTTTACTTCTACATCTACATAGACCCCCGTATAAGAGGCTTAAGAAAAAAAACAAAAAAAAACAAACAGAAACTTCTACATGGATTGAGTACATGTACATGTGAACATCTACATGTACATTGTACTTGTACAAACACATGATGAAGGTGGCGGATCAGCCATATACACTTATTCAATTAATGGCTACGGGTTTGTGCGCGAATATCAGATCGTTTCTCGATACGCGTCCGTGTATTTTCCTTCCGTGCGCGAGCAGCACTTCCTCCCATCCCTGGCCTCAGGGCGTAGCGCTGCGCAGATGCGAACCTGTCCAAAAAGGGGTGCTAGTCGTCGTGTGGTGTGGTACAGATGTGGACCATGTCTCATCGTGTGACCCTTCAACCCGCTCTATGACTGGCTTCCGTGGCTAAAATGATTCCTGGCCTTTCTCCAGTTGGTATGGGCTCTTCAAACCTTCAAACACAGAGCTTTAGCTCAAAGAACAAACGAAGTCATATTTTGTGTGTGTGTGTGTGTGTGTGTGTGTGTGTGTGTGTGTGTGGTGCCACAGGTAAAGATCGATGGGAACAACCAAAGACCATGATAGGCCATTAATTAATGCCATGGGAAAGTACAAAGAAAAGGTATAGTGTAAAATGCTGAGCACTGTTGTTGCTTCAGGTACATTACATGCATTACGAATTGTGCAAGAATATATTTTATAACGTTAATGTGCATCCAATACACCACACCACCACATTGCGCTCTTGGCCGATCCAAACTCTGCACTCACATCACCATCACCACATGCACAGCGAGGACAATTCCGGTATATAACACGTTAGATTGATATTGACAATGACCCTCCAGACAGCTGTTTCGCTCCTCCTGAGCTCATCAGTGGAGGCATAATTATGATGTTGAATGAAAGAACAATAAGAATAAGGTTAATGTGCATGTAAGGTTACTCCAGGCCGCTACGATTATCAGCTAAGCCAGAAGCTGCAGAGCAAACATTCATAAGTCTCTGACTTTACCGCACAACCAACACTACAGCGTGCACGTGGTTATACTAATCTCTAATTTGTACAATACTACAATACAATGATGCTAAATGCTAGCACGAGCTCCAAAGGCTGTTGCCACTAAACGTGAAGGCGCTGGAGCGAGTCCAGTCTGGCGCTATTTATACAAAGCGGGCACCGACAACTGGGCGTATCGAGCTTAGCACGTACACGTCCTTGTCATACCAAGTGTTCCTCTTACGTGTACTGTAGCCGTGTAGATCGGAAGAATGGTATGTACGTACACGTTCCAATAGTGTGTTTCCTGAGGGCAGTCGTGCGTATCTGCGTTCCTGGATCACTCTGCTCTGTGCCAAGCCCACTGAGCCCTCAGCTCCATCGGCTCTGCCTTACTTTCACTCTCCCTCTCTCTGCTCAAAAGACCTACAGTTGATTATGGTATCAGTTATTGTTATTATTAATGTATGACGATCTCGAGATCTGTGGCATGGGCGCTGGAGCAGTGGAGGAGAAAGCATTACATTGCGGGTCGATGGTTTTGACCAGGCGCCAATGCCAAGTACTGCTCTTGGTAAGCCAGTAGTACAGCACAGCAGTCATTAGTTTATCGCTTTCTTTGTACATGTATTTGACCCCACTGATTTCCCTGATGCACTGATGTCAGTGGTCAAATATTATTGACTGCGTTTATACGACTCCGTTTTAGAGTGTGTGGAGGTCAGTGAGGGCTTGTGAAGCCGTCCTCTCACCAGCTTGTTTGGATTCACGGGAAGCCCGAGTTTCGAAGTCTGAAGAAATGTTGAACGGTCGCTGCTAGGACGACGACCACACCATAGCTTAGTGGTAGAGCATCGCTGGTCATAAGTCAGGGTCCCTGGTTCGAGTCCTGGTGGTGACAGTCAATTGTTTTCTCCAGACTTTTCCTGTTTGCACCTTTCCCATTAAATTTTGTGAATACCTATTGTCGACTCGAATGCCTTCCTTCGATATTTTAAAACTTAATAGATTCTTTCTAAACTCGGATGTTGAGCCAACATTTTGTCCTTTCTCTTCAGTATCCAAGATACTTTTTATCTAGAGATTATAGCCAAGCCAAACTCGGTCGGTCTATACATCATGCTATACCGCGTTAACAATGTGAATACATGTATACATAAGAAGAAAGTAATGGGAATGAACGTGGTTGGCCGCAGAGCGCAAATGTGGTGGTGGTGAAGTGGACGCAGAATGAGTCTACATGACTTGTTACCATGAATGACAATGACACTGGGAATTGTAACTGTCAGAAGAAGGAACTATGCGCACTGGACGGAGCATGTCCAACGGAGAGCCTCGTGTATAAGGCAAGAGTCACCACAAATGCAGATGAGAAGGAATACACCGGACCAACAGGTATACGGAAACGACGCTTCACGCAGCTTCATTGTAACAAAAAAGAGGTCTAAGAAGACAACACTAGCCAACACTCAGTTGCACTGTGACTGCTATTTCACACAGTCCGCCGGACGTTTCTTGATCAACGTTTCGGTCCCTGTGACCATCTTCAGGATGCAGCAAGGCAGACTTTGAAACTTCTCCGGCTTCCATGCCAGCCACGCCACAACCAAGCACTGAGTGTTGGCCAGTGTTGCCATAATAGACCCATTATTTTGTTGTAACACTGAGCAGCAACATTCAAATAGCGCTACAACTACCAGCCATCTCTGCGCCACAGGCAACGCCAGAAGAGCACACGCCTATCACAATACGTCTGGGCAAAGAATTAAGGATGGGGGGGGGGGGGGGGGACTTCCGAAGGGGGAAGGAATGCAGCATTCAATGGGTGGTGCACCGGAAAGCAGTGGCCTAGGCTACAGCAACAAAACTCTGAGAGAAAAAGTGCAACCTATGCCTTGCGGACAAATTGCCAATCGCGCACGCACCTTTCTCTCAGCAAGAGGAGTGAACTTGTCTTAAAGTGCTACCACGAGAAGAAGTACTACCTTCGGCACTTCGCACCATCCACTGGCATCACCTAATCAACTGGCAGACAACCAGTTCCAATGCCTATCAGGTGAAATATTCACGCCTGGCCCAGGTGTTAGTACATGTACCTTCCTGGAAGGAGAACATCTCACTTGAATACTGACCAGGAACGGAAAAGTACCATATCTTAATGGCAAAAGACTTGACTAAAATCACAAAATACAGCCTGTGAGTGAATGCTTCCTATCAACTAGTGCACAAATGTGCATGAAAAAAACGGTGCATCACAGATGGACACAATTCAAGAAAATATTGCTAAGGCAGTAAACGAAATCAAACGTAACGATAAACTGATTCGGATTGCCGGGGACAGCAGAATTGGTACAAAAAAATTGAAATGTGTAGGACAGCGCATGTACTTGTATATGACAACTCATCAATGTGAAGCCGTTTGGAGCGGATAGGATTCAAATGAGCAAAATTGAATAATTTTTTGTGCTTGGGCATGGGCTTGCCAATTTCTCCCTAGGGACAACAAGTCAATGGAGGCAAAGATGCACTAGAAAACGGTAACACCACAAAACACACACACACACACACACACAAACACACGCGCGCACGCGCGCACACTACCATAACATCTAACGAGGAAAACAGACACCATCGCCACACTCAGACCCGGCATCATATCAGCATGCTAACCGAGTATGAACCAATGTCCATATGGCGCTTACACAGAACTATTCTAAAAGCATGCCTAGCTTCCACTGCACTATTCTAAAAGCATGCCTTGATTCTATTGCCCTAATCTAAATGAGATCGCTTACAATATTCCAATATTGGACTTCCGATATTGCCCAATTCTAGGGACAGTATGGTATTATGCCGACACGGTGGCACTGAGTTTGGCAGACTAACATGTTATGCCAGGTGACTAGTAGCCACACAGGTGACTAGTAGCCACACAGATGACTTCGCTAGCACTGGGTTTGTTTTCTCTTTCTGCGAGACAGTCAATCCAGGCTGCAGACTCTGATGCACACCCTGACAGCACAGTGGTGAAGATGACTCGGTTGATCAGCTATGCTAGCGTACCAAGAGGGCTGCACACCCTGACAGCACGGCGGCAAAGAAGACTTTGTTGATCGGCTACACCAGGGTACCAAGAGGGCTCTCCTCAGCAAGGGCATTGTCTAGCTCAGCCGAGCCGCTCTCTTCCATCTCAGCCAGCTCTTTCAGGAGCCCAGCCCGCTTCTTCTCAAAACGTCGCTCGATAGACTCCCTCTGCCGTTCCTCTTCATTCTGCAGCATGCGTAGGAAGTTGTCCAACTCCGGTAGGGTGAAATCAATCCAGTTGATAGTGGATGTGGACTGCTTCTTTTTAACGGCGACAACGGGACTGCTGACCACCTTAACGGAATCCTTCTTTTCAGGAAGTGTCAGGGATGATTTGACAGCTGGCGAGTCGAGAGTGCTGTGTGTGCTGCCCGCTGACGCGATACCCGAGTCAGTGGCAGGCGGCTGCATACGCTGCAGTGTGGGCGAAGGCGGAACAGAGTGCTTCACCTCGCGCAGTTCTAATCCTCTATTGGAGTTGGCTCCCCAGAGTAAGGACAGGAGCAGTGGCCTCTCTTCTCCGTCCAGAACACGACCAATAAAGCGCTTGCCCTTGCGCGCCTCGTGCAGTGCGAAGTTGCCTGGCTCATCAACTACACGATACGCGGCAATGAGCTGTTCGATGAGCTCATTGACGGTGGTCTCGGAGCTAATGAGTAGCGTCCGGTGACAGTTGGCAAAGTACATCACCTGCAGCGAGGCCCTTCTGGGACCTTGGTTCATTGCATTGTCGCCAAGATGTAGGACATGAATAGGATTGGACAGCTTCAGCTGCACCTCAATGTAGCCCTCTAGTGCTAAGCCATCAATAGTCACCCACATCAACTCTCTACCAGACTCTTTGTTGTAGTTGACCACACGCTCGGTCACATCCTCCACAATGATATCCTCCACGTTGCCAGCACAATCAGACAGCGTCGGCGGCTGGCCGTCTTCACGCAGCAGCGCCTTTCGCGTCGTTATCAGAGTGAGCCTACCTCTGTTTACGCTCTTCCCACGTCGCAGCGTATCCGTGCGGTCTACAACCAAGTCGTAGTGCATGCGAGCACGGACGGACACACGACGCCTCGACTCTCTGGTCAACTTGGTCACCACCGGCCTCACCAGAGTGTCACTGTCTTCCGTTCGACTACGCCGAATGACTCGCCGGCCTCGCCTCAATGCATGCTGCCGGTCATCAATTGAAGCTTTGCCGACGGGAAGACTGTGCAGCTCCGGGGCGTGGGCCGCCGGTGCTGGCTTGTCCGAGTAGAGTCGATGACGCGAGCCACCACCACGACTAGCACGGTTAGTACTTGCACCACCACCACTGCCACCAACAGCGCCCGTGCTGCCAGCAAGCAATGCAAGTCCGCGGTCACTGTGCGAATGCATCACACTGGTTGCATGCGTCAACTCTCCGTGTGTTCTTGCACCACCAACGCCACCGCCGCTTGGGCCTCGCCGCTCCGGCGGTTTGTCAAACACAGCCAGTTCCTTGCTGCCGTTGGTCGGCGACGACAGGTGTGTGTGGTTCATCACCGGTAGGGACTTGGAGGTCTTGGGGCTGAGTGGTCCCATAGCTGGAACCGTCGTTTCCCTCGTCCACCAGTCATCGGGCTGAGCTCCATCATCTGATGTGCTACTGGTCTGCTGTCCCATGTTACAGGGCGAGGGATGTAGAGAGGGACAAAGCTGCACCAATATCACAGACACAGAGTAAACACAAGCATTGAGTAAACACTAGTAGAGAGGGACGAAGCTGCAACAAGTGCATATATACACACACACACACACACACACGCACGCACGCACGCACACACACACACACACCATTGGACGCCCATCGCCGGAGGCGATGATAGCGATGCTACGGCAGAAGCCATAGCAGCTTGTGCTGGGATTGCACCATTCAACAGCTTGCAAGCCTGAAGAATTGACCGCCACTATTCAGCCTGGTCTACACCACACAGCTATGAAGTGGCTTTTTCTGGCCAGTGAATCCCTACTTTTTGGTATTTTTCATCACACACACACACCCACAGACACACACGCACACACATACAAAGACACACACAAGCGCCCACTGCACTTGAGCTGATGGCACGTCAGGCTAGAGCATTCGGCTATGCTAAGCACTATAGCAGGGATGCATGATGCTACCCGATCTTGCTGACACCAGGGCTGTCGTCAGCCTGGAACCGGGGGCAGGGGTCAGTTTGCACATAAGTCTGAACTTGCGCATAGTCTCATAACATTAGGTCCACGTACAACTGTTGACACCGCACACTACATCAGTCCAGCACACACTATTACGGCTCGCTGACAGCATGCACTTTCCCATAGATTCGTACGTCACTGACTACTTGAAGTAGAATACATGCAATGTAACCTAGAGTGTAATGCAAACAGCAAAGGCACTACCTCACATGAGAGTGCTCAACTCCTACAACTTACAAGAGCAGGAGCGAAATTGAGTCTTAATCATGCTGTATTTTTTATTAGGGCTGAAACAATATGCAAAAACTGCTTAACAATAACACCTTTAGCTAAACAACCGATGTATCGATATAACGATATTTCAAGCTGGCATTCAGCAGTGATAGCGGAGTGCGGCTGGACCGGGACAGTAGTCCACGTGCTGGACCAGTCTACGCACTAGCTGTCTACTACCAGTGTACAATGCAGTGAGGACAGTGGCACCATGCCAGTGAACAGCACGGTCCGAACCCGGTACACCGTGCACACAGCACCAACAGTACTGTTACTTGCATTCTAGCACCTTATACACATACATGTACTGAAGAACATACTAGTGCAGATTGAGCAGTAGGTATCGTTATATCATTAGTGACAGCTAACGATAATCAATACCTTCCTTTTTAGCGATCAGCAAACGGTTAATAGATCATATTGTTCGGTCCTTTTTTATGATCTTGCATAATGCAACAGATTGAGTTCTTCAGCTTATTTCTGCTGCCAAAGTCCCATTGTTAGCAAGTCCACTGTCTCCACCGTGTCGCAATAGAGAGGTTCCGCATAACGTAATTACGTTAGTAAAAAACGTAGTCGATCTACGGAAAGTCGAACGTAAACTGCATGCGCATCTGTGTTCCGCCATACAGAGTTTTCAAATCACGTAGCTGCCCTTGGCAACTCCGAAAGTGGCAGTGTACGGCCGGATTGACCTGGGGAGAGAGTCATACATTTGTGCACCAATCCACTTACGGAGCACCTACGTGATCAGAGCCCTATCTGCGTACTCTCCGTAGACAACTTTCCGCTAGTGGAGTGCAAACTCGCGAATTCACGGGTTTTTCCCGCCCACTAACGTAAAGTTGCTTAACTTTACGTAGTGCGGAACCTCTCTAATGTCTACAGCCCTGAACACCATCCACAACACCCTGGAAGCACACAATTGTAATGTCTACAGCCCTGAACACCATCCACAACACCCTGGAAGCACACAATTGCGCACTGCTGAAATACTACGGCATGTACTGTTGTCATTAGAGAGGTTTCGTTTCACGTTGTTCTGCACTACACCGTGAAATTTACGTCGGTGTGGCAAATTTTGGCGTCGAAACTCCCGTTCATGACGTGAGCTGAGGTCAACTCACGTTCGACGTGAACGCGAGTTTTGCAAATTTAGCCTTGCTATCAGGTTGGGATTATTGACTCGATTTTGTCGATTTTGCCTAAACTAGCTATAAATAATATTTGTGCGACTTTGGCCTCACCAAAAATCACTTTTTCACTTTTTGAAGTTTTCGCTCCTGTCGGCAGCGAAACGACGTGCTTCACAAGCAACGTGAAACGAAAGCTCTTTCTGAGCTTGCTTCAACGCAAAAAATTGACGTTCACGTAAGAGCACAAATCACGCGGGTCGAAACCTCTCTATTACCTAAAACCGTCATCCATTTAATTTCTCACACCACCCTGTTCTAAAATTCCTAAGAACGTGTGCATGTTGCACACCGCTGCTTTGCATGTTATGATTGGAAGCTGTGGCCTTAGTAAAAAATAATAATAAAAAAATGTTGCTACACCCACTCACATGCCAGAGTAGTCTATCAAAAAGCATCCTCTTTGATGCAAAACTTATCTATTCTTCAACTTTTCGGACATGACCGATCCTTGGGTGGAGCACTGCTTCACTAGTCCGGTGACAGCAGATGATGAAGCTATCAGCATTAAATAGGATGTTTGGGGCAAGCCGACCCAATTTTCGCAAAAGAAACAAGTGCAGATTTGACCCCGGGAATACGGTTTGCTTGTGCACTACAGCCGGTGCTGATCACCGTCACAATACACTACACTACACTACAGTCATGTACTATGCAATGCATAGACAGCTAGAGTAAAACCTGTAACTAAAGACCACCGTGACTAGCCACCAGCCTGGTACTACAGACCACTTCACCAGGCACGGACGGTCGTACATTCATAAAAGGTTGTGCGGTGCAAACCTCTAACTAAGGACCACCTGCCACTAAAGACCACTTTCTCTGGCACCAAGGGGTGGTTGTTAGTCACAGGTTTTACTCTACCTTTGTGTTCAGGTCGGTGCTGGTCCCCCTGATCAGGCAGCTACTAGTGGCACCGAGGGCTACTCCCCTCCCCCCCCCCCCCCTCCCCCCCCCCCCCGAGTCTGGCTGGGCTCGTGATCTTGCATGCATGGTCAGTGGGGCCGTCCGTAAATACAATCATGTATTTACTTGGAGACGTCTAACAGGCGTTTCTTCCTTGACCCACCACCCCCACCCCCAGAAACGCAAAAAATGCAGAGTAATACCACTCATAATCAACATCATACTATCAAGAGCATAAAATTATAACGGGGGGTTATATACTCTTGATACTATGCACACATATACAGTACAGTCGACTCTACTTATAACGAAGTCGCATATAGCGAATTTCGTGATATAGCGGACCTTTGTCCATGTCCCTGCTTGAACCCATTCAAAATTGACCCTTTATAGCGAACAGTTATGTGTCCCTGTAAGCTGTCTACTCTGCCCTGACGCGTGCAGTGTAGTGCGTCTCAACGCCTACCTGTACTAGCTGTAGCAGTGCTACATTACCGGTATGTACGTGTAAAAGCGCGGTATGGTATGCATGCACTCCGAAATGTATTTTTTAGAAACGCCTTGTGGGCGAACCCACCCACCAGAAACGCCTGTTAGACGTCTCTTTGGTAAATACATGTATTTACGGACAACCCCTAAGCCAAAAACTTCGTACGGAAACAATTCACCTTTTACAACCGGCCCAAAGTCGAACAAGGTAGTGTGCCACACCATGGGTATTTCACTCCTCAATATTCGTCTTATGGAGCACTCTTGGTAGGTTGCTCTAGTGCTGCTGCATTACGCACTGCCCGCTACTTTTCGTAGTTAGAGCACTCTTGATGAGCTATCTTAATGTCTGTGGTGCCTCCTTGCACCATGGCTGGTAGCTCGGCTTACTTAGAGTTCGAATGGGAACGAGAGAGCTTGGAAGCTCAGGGCCCTACGCTATGCTTTGTTGCCTAGCTCATCGTGCATGTGTTAGAACTGATGAAAATGTTTTTTTTCCTTTGATTAGCTACATCATTGTATTGCAAAAACGTTTCAATGAGTTACTGAAGTAACGTCTTCTGCATAGCTATGGGACCGGCGCTGACTCTGCCGATCACGGGCGTTCTGAAGTCGACGGGATGTCTGTCCTGACGTTTCCTGGAACCGGCGCTGACTCTGCCGATCACGGGCGTTCTGGAGTTGACGGGATGTCTGTCCTGACGTTTCCTGGGACCGCGCTGACTCTGCCGATCACGGGCGTTGTGGAGTCGACGGGATCTCTTTACCGACGTTTCCTGTGACCGGCGCTGACTCGCCCGTTCACGCTTATTTTGGAGACGACGGGATCTCTCTTCCAAAGTATGTTTTTGTCTTTTCGCTGACGCATCCTATCACCTATTTGGCAACTAACGTCCAGTATAATTGCATTTCCTCCTCGTCTCCCTATTTCTTTCCAAAAAATCTCCCTATACATCAGGGAGTCGTATACATAATACGACGAATATTGTGGCGAGCTGTTTGTGGCCGGCTGTGTTTGATGGTACGGTACGGTACGGGACAGATACGGGATGGCGCCAGCAAATATTGTGGCCAACTGTCTGGTTTGTAACCAACTGTGTTTGATGGTACGGTACGGTACGGGACAGATACGGGATAGTGCCAGGCGTGACACAAACAAACAAACAAACACCAAATTAAAGCTGTGTGGACCCTGGCTAGCGCCAGACGTTACTGAAGTAACGTCTTCTGCATAGCTACTGGAATAAAGGACAAGTGATGTGTTGCAGCCTCCTCGGACCAGCACCAATACATGGGCCGGAGGCAGCTCCCACGGAGCGATGCGGACGAGTGCCTTGTTCAAAGGAGGCGTGGGGGTCCTCCCCCCCCCCCCAGAAAATTTTAGGAATTTAGAAGGCAAATCTTGCACTCTGGGCGCATTTCGGTGCATCTCCTAGCCCCTGGGCACAACTTGCAAGTCTGATATTCCAATGCAGAATACACTAGATTCAGACTGTGCATCTATGACAGTTCACTGTATGTAGAATGTTCCTGATGACTGTGTAATCCGTTTTTACGACTCCGTGTACAAAATCGTACATCGAAACTTTTCGTCCCCGGTTTTGGACGTTCCACGTGGACCGACTTTTCGGGAATTTGGTACAGCCATGGCCGTAACGGCCACACCAGTGGCGCCGGCCCTGCAATAGATTCCAGCAGCACCTCGAAGACTACAGTTTCTGAAAGCCCCATGTCTAGCTGTGGTTCTACAGGTATGACAACGTGAAAATAGACTATGCTTCAAGTGAAAATTTCAGTGCAAATACCAATCCGTACTAGGGCACACCTTCCCCACTTCGGTGCAAGTGTGCGAAATTTATTGGGAGTATAGGTGGGGGGTCAGAACCAGTGTGGCACTAATAATATTTCCTGTGATTTTTGAAGCAATGAAATATTGCCTGTTTAGGTCCAATTTTCCTAAAATAATAATATTCTCGGTGGATGGGCCCGGACCTCCCGCCTTTTCATACAATGATGTACTGTAGTCCCATCAATGAAGAATGCCTTCCAACGATAGGGCTCACAGGGCATTGAAGTTTCCTCGGAACAACACAACACCATTCCGCGGCTCGCACCCGGAATATTTCGAGTAATGAAAGACATTGTCTGGTATGGCACTCGTGCATGTGCCTGTGTTCCTGCCGAGTGGCATATAGCACAACTGTGCTAAAACCGTAACATACCGACTTTTCATCACCCGTGAAGCAAAATGCTCGTCTTTATGAACACTCAACAAAATTCGTTATCAAAACTATTATTTTTATCGGTCCAGTCACATCGTAGAATACTCGTCTGTGCTGACCCAGCCTAAACTCAGCACGGCTGTTAGCTGCACTTGGATCGCGGCAACTTAGTTTTCTGCACGTGAACCATGAAAAATCAATGCATGCTCATGCATGTTCATGCATAACCAGTCAGCTGGCCTGCTCGCCCACGCATTTGACAGGTAACAATTCCATCAAATTTGAGATATCGCTTCGTTCTAAGTCTCAAAACAGTTCTAAAGTCACCAAACCACGCTGGTAATCGATGGCTATTCAATGTTAACATCTTCAGGAAGACTTCAGCCGTTTCCCGAGAGTTTGGGCATCGTTGCCGTTATTTTTCACGGTGTTCTTCTTCCTCCTGTCTGGAGCTGCAATTGCATCCTGGAATTATTTGAAAGGTATTTCGTGCGGGTTGTGGGGGGTTCTAACAGGCATAAACTGACATCGCTATAGGATAACTGGTAACTTTCACCCTTCAAGGAGGTAGAGCAATGAGAATTTTTTTGTGGCGGTCGTCCAATTTTTGTGGCGGTCGTGGCTGTATTTGTGCACTTCCAAGGCTTTCATTCTGCCTGATACTACTCTCTACTGTATGGGAATCGTTGTTTAGGCATATGTAGCTGTCTTATTTGGTAGATCTGCTGTTTTCAATCACTTGGGACACTTTGTCTAGCCTATTTGTCTTTCGTTTGTGCCATCTATCAGTTTTGTGGGGTGCCTTGACCTCTATTTGTGAAGTTCTCGAGTAAAGACCTTAATTCTTGACTGGAGTCACGTCTTGAATTGAATTTGCTGGGTGAGCCCTCGTTCACGCAGTTGTACTTATCGTAATAGTCAATATCTGCTTGCTGGACGAACTAGCGGCTAGAATAGGGATGACCGAATGGTCCAAGTGTGTACTAGTACACGATTATTGTTTCCATCATCGTGAAATGCTCGTTGTGGAATTGCAGTCGTCTGCCTTTGGCACCGAGGACATGAGGAGAGTTGATTGTTACTTCTGCTCAGCAATGAAGCGATCATCAGCTCTCTTTGTTCTAATTATTGAGAGGACATACCGGCATCGCGATCAAGTAAATATTAGGCAAACCTCGCCAACCTCCAAAGAGAGTCGAAGATATTTTCTCCAAATGCAAAGACGATCTTTGTGAGTTTGTGACTTGCATTTGCGTGCATACATGAGCAAGTCACGGACCACGGCACGTGCGCGGTTACCATGCCATCTCGAACCGACGCCATCTTTCTAAGTAAGTTGCCGCTTCTTGACAGCCGTGTCAGCAGGGGTACAGGCACAACACTTTATGTCTACGAAAAAGATCACGTGCACAGGAGCCATGCTCTGCCAACGATGCTCTACTTTGTATACAAAGGTCATGTACAGTCTGCCCCACGCCGGGCATAGCAGCTGTGCTGCAAGCCTCAGTCGTTCAGGGAATCAGGGCTTCAAGGCATATGCACTGCTAATGCAGGCACTCTCCGAGACAGCAGTCGCGCAGGTGGAACCATTCTGTCAACACTATTACGTAGACTCTACGTACACGCGCACGTTAGTCGTTACTCCTTTCAGTAACACAAACACAACCGCAATCAACACGTAGTATGGTCTAGGGACTGAACAAGCTTCAACAACCCAGGCCACAGCCGCGATACGTGTGCCCCAATTCGACTCGGAAACAAGAAAGCCATCAAACATTCTTGCTTTCCTGTGTGCGGGCGCTGGTGGACATGGGCAGCTGGCTGACGGGAATGTGTGGTTCGGTCACATGAAATAGACACTTTAGTCTTTGCTGTCGACATTCCATGGTGAAGGGATAGTGAAGTCTCGCCTCCCGAGCAACGAAATCCAGACGCGGCCACTACCCGAACACGCGGCTCGAATCGTAGGAGCAACACTGAGCAGTTGCAATAACTATTGCCCGTGTACGTGTCGTTCGTCTCAAGGACGTGTTGTTAGCCCCAGTCAAGTTTCACAAGGACACAAACACGACCACTGGCACTGCACCATACTGCCAACATGCCCATTCGTACTGAGACACAAAATGCGTTCGGGGATGGGCAAGGCAACACGGAAACAAGAACGAAAAAGTCACAACAGGCAAATGTGCAAGAGCATTATGTGCATTAGCGCACAACTTAGATTGAAAAAATAGAAATCAACAAAGGAGCCTATACTTTCGCAAACACCAAACGGATATCTCCGCTACTGGATGTGGCAACTTGGGCCCCACATGTCAAAGACAAAGCCGCGAGAATAACCACCATTTATCCGCTACTCTTTCGGTGGGCGCACCCCAAATAATTGCGAAAGGGTTCTATAATAAATCCAAATCACAATGAACAAGAGTGCTAATTGCCGTTTAGACACTCACCCCTCATCAAGCTAAAGGTGGCTACGTCCCGAGCACTTCATCCACTCACCGAACGATTTACAGCTCAACTGCACTCAGCCACCACTGCAACACTACAGGAGAACAGCACCTCCAAAATAGTGGAGCGCGAACAACGCAAAACTGCACAAACAACACGAACACGGCCAGTGCAGTGTGTCTTCCAGTCTACACGACAAAGTCAAAGAGCATACTATAATTATGTATGGGCAGTGTGGCCTTTCCCTTCCACGGACAGTCTAGACTCTAGTTCAAGTAGTTGAGTAGTCTAGCTGAACGCACAGTCACCACCACGGTCCACACACACACACACATGCAGGTCTACAACTTACTTACTTACAAATACAAGCCCAGGGCCTAGGGCATAACCCTGGCCTGGGAGGGGGGGGGGGGGGGTAGCGGCGACGTCCACTACTAATAGTACTATTGAGTATTGTACTAACACTAGCACTGTCTGTGCTACCAAGACTCAAGCAAGAGTACTATTATTACAATGTCATTGTAATAATTATAGCTGGGAGCTAGTGAAGTTGTGTACTCTTGCAGTCTTGGTGCTACTAATACTATACAGTCATGTACATGTACAATGTAGGAACCGGCGGATTCTGCTCGAAAAGCAGTGAAATTGGCAGAACCATACAAACCTTACGGCGGGCAATTCCTCGAATTCTGCCCCATATCTTTATCCACATACCAAACATGCATGGAACTTACCAGAAAAAGTACCGAATTCTGCCAATTTTTCTGCCGGCAGAATCCGCCGGACCCTAGTACAATGTACAATGTAGAATGTACACGTAGGGATACTAAGGATAGTCTAGCGGCTCTAGCCGCCTTTTTACTGGTTGCGCTATGGTACATTGCCATTGGTACAATAATGGTCCGCCTTGCTAGCAGTGATTGGGATTTTAAATAATTGGCCGTAAGCATGTGTTGACTTTGGTAGTTTGGAGGCGTACTGAATGCAAGTACATGTACATGTACATGATTGTGTAAATACCTATGATTTTCTTGCACAGGGATACATGTACATGACGAGCTAGGCCACGGGAACGGGGAGGGGGGGGGGGGGGGGAGGATCAGAGAGGCCAGTATTAATAGTGTAGGATTCTACAGCAGCCCAAAAATGTAACGTTACAATACGATGTACTTGTATGTGCACATGCACACGTTACTGGTACATGACTGTATTGTGCATGTATTTCAACCGCCAATGAGGAGTGCCGCAGTTTCTTTCTTTCTTTTTTTAGTACATGTAGTTCTTACATCATCCTACTTGAACATGGACGGGGTGAGATAAAAACCGATAGTCAGTAACCATTGAGATACATGTACATGTACAATGTAGATCACACGCTCATCGAAATACTGCCTACTGGTTATACATAGACCCAGCAGCTTCCTTCGCCATGGAGCAGCCTACATGTACATGTGTCTTCCTCAAATGAGGAATCGCTGTCAGCGTTGATGGATAGATATCTTCCACATAAACGGTAGAAATGTTTCTTCAACAACAGCTAAACTTACATGTACACAGTGTCGTGGATGTACAATGTACGTGTACAGGCATGTGTAGAAGCTGGGACGAACTTGGTCATTTGAAAAATAATTTGAAACAGTCCACTAGTGGCACTACTCCACACTGCGCTCCTGACCCACATTCACAACACACGGGGGGGGGGGGGGGGGGGGGATAGCGAGGAAATTCGGGTTAGTGTGAACAAGTAGATATTCTTCTTCAGTCATGCCTGTCACTGGTCACGGTGTCTACAATTTTACAAGCACTGTGTGTACTTGTATGCACTGTGTGTACTTGTATGCATGTCCCAGCAGCACTATGCGTTTAGAACTGCTGTCACCATCACCTTCTTTGGGTATACCACTTTTCTATGTAGAAAGTGGGCAACTGCGCCACTTTCACCCTATGAATATACAATGTACTTTCGTGGACATGGAAATCCGTGAATGACCGGGGCCGGCGCCCTCAGGCTCACTGCGTACAGAATATTGCATGCCCAGTGCTAGTGCACTTGTGGATTGCATGCGTGCTCACGGCTGCACGGCCAGCGTGCTGGGGGTACTTGACCTCCGACTGGACTTCCATGTCCACAACAGTAGTAATACTATCAAGAGTACATATAAACCTGACAACCTGGTTAGGCACTCTTGATAGTATTCAACAGTATCTACTATTCATTTGTTATCTACATGTACATTGTACTTCCACTGAGGAGTGAGGGGCTCTCGGTGAGAGAAAGACCTGCGTGGAGGATACGCGCGATCTATCCGAGAATGAATTTCCTCGCGATGGTGTTGTGAACGTGGGCCATGAGCGCAGTGCGGAGTGGTGGAGTGTTTCAAACAACAGTGAAATTTAAAAAATCTTATCAAACTACATTGTACATGTAATTGTGCTGAACCGTGACCCTTGGCGAGTCGGTCTATACATGTTTAGGATACTGCACGGATTTAGAAATTGGGATATTGCACGGATTGGTCCTCGGGTGAACATTTTTCATAATCCCCGCGGTACTGCGCGCGTTGGGGATTGTGAAAAATACTCGCCTGGCTAGGAATCGAATACAGCTGTACCGTAAAGTACCGCCAGAGCGCCCCGTCTCGCAAGAGTGCCCCACCTTGATTTTACAGCCAGAGAAAGGGAAATCGTATGGCAGAGTGCAACGAAGTGTGTACGATGTGAGAATCTTAGTGTACTAAGGTCACACTTGGCAGGTTTTTGTGTGGAGCTTGTGTCCGCTTGAAGGTACGGATCGACCGCAAAACGTGCAATATGTGTACAAGGTTCATGTCGTATGACCTACAGACAGCAGACCACCTCCACAATACGACCACGAAAGGATGATATGGTGGGGCGCTCTGGCGGTACTTTACGGTACTATCTTTTTTAAACACTACTTTCTTGTAGATGCATGTACATGTACATGCATATGTATAAATTAATAGACTGGTAGTCGTAATTTACCTACTCATGAGTGTTGCCAGCCTGTTTACAATGTAGGGCTCAGAGGTCGTAAAATGCATGTACAATGTACAGGTACCTGCACAATAACCGTGATGTAGATATGGAACATTTAGAATGCTGAAGGATTAGGGCAATGTCATCAATTTCTGCGCCATGGATACATGGTGGGAATGACTTACTGTAAGTCACATGATACTGCAGGAATCATCAGTGTGTTTGATAGGCTAGCTTTTCCCTTCCTCTGAGAACATCACCGCACACCATAGCAAAACTTCACACACACACACACACACACACACACACACACACACACACACACACACACGCACACACACACACGCACACACACACGCACACACACACACACACACACACACACACACACACACACACACACACTGTACTGTACTGTACTTGCTCACTGCCAAAATTGGTCACGTGGGTCTCCCCGGGAGAGGGGAGAGAGGAACTCAAAAGGAATCTTGGAAAGAGGATTCAACTGGCTATTGAACCGCCCGACGGCCGACACCCCCTGAAATCCCTAAACTATGGGTGGATTTGCAAATGATCCCACTTACGGGCTCACCACACCTCAGTAAGTGGGTGAGGACAAGGTGCACAAAAAGGATTGACGGCATCAGGGTATCCATCCTGGAATCCACCTGTAGTTATCCCTGCCCCCAGTGAGGGTAATACTTGCTACTAGTGTGGGTGGCTAAATCAGAGTGGATCTGATATAAGCTTCACTAGCACTATTGATTACACAAGAGTTAATCTAGCCAAAAGCAGTACATGGTTAAAACAGGCCTTTATGGCCGAAACAGCTTGCTGAAACAGCTTGCTGTCTACAGCATTGGGTACTATGCTCCTCGGCTTTTGTCTTGTTGAGCACTCTCAGTAGGCTGCTCTAGTGCTGCTGCATCGCGCAATGCCCGCTACTTTTTGTAGTTTGAGCACTCTGGCGCTAGAGCGACGAGCTATCTTTTAAAATGTCTGTGGTGCCTCCTTTGCACCATGGCTGGTAGCTCGGCCTACTTTAGCTCATAGCTGTACTGATGAGGCCCTTATGGCCGAAACAGCTCGCTGTCTACAGCATTGGGTATACTTCAAATAGAAAGTATATGAAGTTATGAACCCTGAAACCAACAAAGGTGGCAGATACAACAATACACCTTCAAGCAGCAGAGCCTGTTGGCAACAGACCCAACACTATCTGGCATGTGTGTACCCACCAACCGGACTAGCTGGCCACACACACGCACGCACGCACGCACGCACGCACGCACGCACGCTATACCGGTAGTCTACTATGTTAATTATTCATATCTTTTTGCATCTTTCCCTCGAGTGGGTCTATTGTTATTAGGCAATTGTCTGTTATAGTCACCACTATAAATAAAAATCCAATCCAATCAATCAATCAATCACGCACACACACACACACACACACACACACACACACACACACACACACACACACACACTGTGACACACACACACACGTCGAGAATGGAATATGGGCAACATGATGCGACCATGGGCTAGCCGCTCGATATGTTCAGTGGTGTTGTGAACATGTATAATACCGGTAATCTCATTCGCACTGACTCAATTCGAATTTGAGTATACACGTACATGACATTGTATTGTACACACATGAGGACTAACGTTAATCTTACCTTGCAATTCCCTCATTTCCAAAGCAGTGAAGTTCCAAAAATTCACAGCCACCACCGAACGTGTAAGTATTGCTATTTCAATTTTGATAGGTGTCAGAAATAACCAGCATTGGCTCTTGCCTGCCTTGGCTTGGGATTCGGAACAGGCCTCGAAGCATACCACAAAAACAATGGAAGTGAAGATGACGACGACGTTTCATAATTAAAATTATTTTAAAATTATTTCACGGGTGATTATATGATGCGGCGCGCGCGGACCACGTGAAAATCCCTTCACTTCATTCAGCAAGAAAATCGGGGGATCGATCATGCATTTGCCGATATCGATATCGATATGCCGTGCACATGCCATGGTGCACGCGTGCATGATTGATGGTCATGCACGGTAGAGGAGACGGCTCGATACCGGGACGTTTTGACAGCCAAATTTGTATAGACCCAAACCGATCATCAGCGTTGATTTTTCACTCGAAATATGTTTCAGACATGGCACGTGCTTGTTGCCAGGAGACGGCCAATGAGCGGCCAGAATAAGCAGTCAAGATCAGTCGATCTTGACCGCTTAGCCGGTCAAGAACAGCAGTCGCACAGCATCGCGCCGCACATGCGCATTTACCATTTTTCGAAGTCCTTGCCTTGGGCAACATCTCCGACGACGAGGACTAAAAATTTGTCTCCCTTCTCCAAAATGATTATATACTCACTACTGTCTTGAACGTCTGCAGGGAGACCAGAAACGCCAACCGACCTTGCAGCTGGTCCTGTTTCTCGCGGCGAAAAGTACACAAGGGAAGCAGACCTCCACAAGTACATGTTGTACCTGCCCTAAGGCTGCAGCTTCTCAGCACTCGCATTTGAACCTTACTCTGGCAATCATCTAACTCGAAGAACGGGTTTATTCCGAATCCGTCATATTACTGGTACTAACGTTACTACTGCCTTCACTGTACTTGAATACTTTCATCTCAAAACTGGAAAGTTCCGACCGTTGAAACAAATAGCTGTTTGTGATGGTCACTGCACACAATGTGACATCAACTCATTTGCCGTCAAGGCTTTCTTTCTGTTTGAATCTCTCTACTGTACTGGGCCTTGTTGTTTGTGAGGTGGGCCTTGTCTGAAGCGCAATCCTACACAGTTGCGTCGGGCATGCCGCTCTGATCAGGCCCTCGGTCATGTGAGTGATCTTGCCCTCGGTCGCGACGCCCTCGGGGCTACGCCCCTTGGGCGTCGCGACCTCGGGCAAGATCACTCACAGACCTCGGGCCTGATCAGAGCATCATGCCCTCGCAACTGTGTAGGATTATGTATTTGTGGAAGGAAACTGGCATGTTGAAGTTTGCTCTGGGGCCAGAGTCAATCGAACTGAGCCACTCCTTTGTGTTCACCCATTGCCTCCAAGTTGCCCAATTTTTCGCTTCAAAAAAGTTCAAATCAGAGGTGGCTCCAAACCGGACACGTTTTAGAGTGCCCGTCAAATTCACTCTGGGTCTGAAATTAGGTAATTGCTATCGTTCCACGACGGCCAGTACAGAGTAACAATAAGCCTTGTGTGTGCTTCCATTAGTTTTGATTGGTATGCGGTGCTTTATTGGCGAGAGGCGAGCCGCTGTTTACCTGCGACAAGAAGTTGATTTTTCGAAAGTCGTAAAACTCAAGTCGCAGTGCGAAGCAACACGTCAAAAACTCACCTGCTTGATATGGCGCTTCTGGTCATCGCAGAGCCATGAAATTTTGGCTCGGAGTTTAACACATCGTAGTCTCACTGTGACATTATGTTTTCTAATCAAAATACCAAGAGAGAAAGTGAATATTGAGTCCGTTCCGGTTTGCAACCGGTGTCCTATTTGAAACCGTCCCCTCTACGGTCCCGTTTTGACTCCCTGCATTGCAATATTGACATCCTGATAGTACATGTAGTACTGTATTTGTAGGCTGCAGGGAGTCAAAACGGGCCCTGGTACATGGTCTTGGTTTTGGCCAATTATTTGGGTGGATCTACTCCATGAATCATTGAATGGCATGATCCAACGGGTAGTGTGTAGCTACGTCAAATAGATATTCCTAAAACGGTGATATGTGTACATTTTCAAAGTCTTTCAATTGGTTTGTCTTTTCATGATCTGATCGATTCATCTCTAGATTTGAACCTCTAGAACGACTCACGTAATGTCAAATTTGGAGGAAAGAAACGATTGTTGCAGAGAGTAGGGTGGAGCACCGTTTCTCCTCTTCTGTCTGATTTCTATTTGTTTAGCTTCGATTCACCAGAACTGAGGCGTTGACGTGTGTCACTGAGGGAGGTAGCGGGTGAGAACGTTCAGTGGACGGAATTATGTTCAATGACTTATTGAGTAAATTGAGAACCTATCCCATTCTCCTAGCATGGCTGAAGTCGGCCGTGCTGAAGCGTCTGGCGCTCGGATTGGCAGTTTTGTTCTTGACAATGACTGTAGCGTGGAATGTGTGGACACCCCAGAGGGATACTGCTCCTGCTGCACAGCTTACACTTCCTGGCAGCTTGTTCGGTGAAAGCACAGATACAGATGAGCAAGAAGTGACACATAGTCCAGGGTCTAATGCGTTGGAGCGCGAACGTCAACTTCACAGGATCGGCTCGCACGGCATACGTCCAGCGTTGAATGCCCCGCATGCTGCCAGCAGAGCGGCACAGCCAGTGCAGCATCGACGGCCAGTGCAGCATCGACGGCCAGTTACAACTGCAGCGTCTCGAGCACCTGCCAACCAGCAGAGACCCACCACAGTAGCGCCTCGCCTTGTAAGACCTAGTTCTGAAACCCAGCATGACGGCGACAATGCCGACCATGGCGAAGCACGAGAGCGGCGGAGAGCGGCGAAGCCAAGACGCAAGACTGACGGCTCGGCTGCTGACTACTATACGGCCGATTTACTGTACGGTTTGTTGGACCAGAAGCCGTTTGATCCCGGCCAGAATGTTCCTGACTATCGACATCTGTATAATGTAACGCAGGCAATACAGAAGAAAGCCATTGAGATCATTGTCATTCCTCACTCACATAATGACCCTGGATGGCTAGAGACATTCGAGGACTACTATAGTGGTTCGACACGGAGTATTCTCGACAATGTTGTCCTAGGACTGCAGACGTACCCAAAGTGGAAGTTTATCTGGTCGGAAATGTCTTTCCTGCATCGCTGGTGGAGTGATCAGGGTGAGGAGACACGGGACATTGTGAGAGGCCTCGTGCGCAGTGGCCGCCTTGAACTTGCCACTGGTGGGTGGGTGATGCCGGATGAAGCTAACACGCACTATCATGCCGTGCTTGATCAGCTCATTGAAGGTCATCACTGGATTCGCACTAACATTGACAGCAAATGGCAGCCGAAGAGTAGCTGGTCAAATGACCCGTTTGGCTACTCATCGTCCGTCGCTCATCTCTATCAGCAAGCGGGCATCAAGCGTTTGATGATACTGCGCACACATTATATGCTGAAGCGCTACCTGGCGCAGCATCATGCACTGCAGTTCCGCTGGAGACAGCCCTGGGATGCTCTGCACCGCTCTGCTGTGTTCACCCATCTCGAGCCGAGCAGTTTGTATTCCACTAAGCACTCGTGCGGAATTAGTCCTGAATCATGCTGTTTGTTTGACTTTTTCTATCTGAAGTTCTGTGAGGGGAGTGATCAGTGCGATTGTGTGGTTCACAAAGTCACCGAGAAAAACATCCACCATCTAGCAACTACTCTGGTTGACCAGGCCCGTTCTAAGTCTATGCTTTTCCAGACGAACACTGTGTCGATCCTGAATGGGGATGATTTTCGCTATACATCTTTCACAGAGGTGAAGGATCAGTATGTCAACTACGACGCCTTGATGGAGTATATCAACAGTCATCCAGATTTTCATGCCTCCATCAAGTTTGGCACACTGGGGGAATTCTTGGAGAAGGCTGAACAGGAAAATAGCCGCTTTCCTCATCTTCATGGAGACTTTTTCCCGTACTCTGACAAGTACACGGCGTATTGGACCGGCTACTTCTCAAGCCGGCCGTTTCACAAGGCGTATGCCCGCATTGTCCAGTCCCTCCTGTATGCGACGGACAGTCTGTTTGTGTGGGCGTCTGCGCGTGGCCGTGCACCAGCCGGCACGTTTGAGCAGCTAACCGCCGCCCGCCACCAGTTTAACATATTCCAGCATCACGATGCGGTGACGGGCACGTCACGCGCGTACGTCATGGCCGACTACCTGGACCGACTGCGCTCGGCACACCGCCACCTGGCCAACGCTTCGGCCAATCTTCTAAGTAGCCTGTCCGGCCTGCCATCGCTCGCCTTGGTGACCAGTGCCCGATACAATGCTGGCCGTGACACACATACGACGGTCAATGCCAGCCGCCCAGCTACAGTACTGGTGCTCAACCCCCTGCCAAGGCCCGTTAAGCGATTGATATCTGTGTTCGTCTTGTCGCCACACGTAGCTGTCCGCGACTGTTCTAACCAGGCGGTCGCGTTTGCAACAAGCTTGCTGCTCAAGCCAGAGTACGTGCGTGGAAGACTGAACAGCACTGCCGTCGAATCTGTCCGGCTTACGTTTGAAGCAGACCTGCCAGCTCTGGGCTATGCAGTGTATAGTGTAGTACCCGTGAAGCTAGCTAAGCGTGTCCAGGGCCGGCCGGCTCGTGATGTGATAAGTCTGCACAACGCCAGCAAAGACTTTCGGGTGCCGTCTTTCTGGCCAATTCAGAAAGTGCCGAAAGTGCCGTTTGATCTTGTCACTGACAGCTTCTCAGCGGCTTTCTCTGCCGAAGGCCTCCTCACAACACTCACAGTCGACGGTAAGACTATCGAGATGAAAATTGAGTTTGTAGTGTACAGAGAAACAGAAATGGAAGAGCAAACTGGTGGCGCCTATATATTCCAGCCTACGAAGGAAGCCAGTCCTATCGGCACCCCGGCGACGTTTGTGCGTGTCGAATCGGGCCTGCTCTGCCACTACGTGACTTCGCACTGGCGTTTCGTCGAGCACACGGTGCGCTTGTGCAACGCGACGTCGTCCCTGGGGCCAGTCCAGCTGTCCATTACGAACCAGGTGAGTATGCAGTGGATGAACATGCCTGAGGTTGACATTGCCATGCGTATTACGTCCTCATTGCACAGTGCTGATCTACTCTTCACCGACCTCAATTCGCTGCAGATGGCGCAGAGGCGACGCTTCCGCGACATGATTGCACCGAATTTTTACCCGTTCACGTCGCTCGCGTACATTCAGGATCGCACATGGCGCCTGTCACTGCATACTCAGCAACCACTCGGCGTATCGTCTTTGCAGGCCGGCAGGTTGGAAGTTATTCTAGATCGTAATACTGACATGGATGATGGCCGCGGGCCCGTCGGTGGTACACCAGAGAGTATTTCCTGCACCCAGTCAAGTTTCGAGCTTGTCCTAGAGCGCCGGGATTCCGCAGCAACCATGGAACCGACTGATTTGTCCCTTGAGGCTCAACTCCTAGCTCAGCACGTTTTACATCCGCCCCAGATATTTTCATCTTACCCTGCTAAACGCCCTAAGCTGTGCAGCGGTGGCTTCCTCAAGACCGGGATGCCATGCAGTATTCAAATTGCCAGCCTTCGTCCGATAGGAGATCCCGGGACAAGCAAAGAATCTGCCGGGACAAGCAAAGAATCTGCTGCTTCTGCAGCCGCTCTTGTTCTCTATCGACTACCTGCCAGTGTATCCCTTTCTCGTAGAACAGCCTCACAAGTGTGCCAACGTACTGGTCATGTTGATGGCCAACAGCAGAACGTCCCACCTCTTGCCAATCTATTTGATGGTGTGCGAGTTGAGCAAGCTGCGAACTGCTCGCTGACGATGCTTGACACGCATGGTGCTATTGCCTTAGACACTCCGCTTGCTCTTGACCACAGGCAACTGCAGACGCTGAAATTGCGTTTTAGCCAGGTTGACGTTCATTGATCTTGAAACCACATTTCTCGACACTTGAGATTTCCACTACATGAATTGTATTCTACATTGCAATTCGTAGTAGAGTGTGCTATCAGTTGTATCCAACTCCTCATACCCAATCTCTGACCATTTTCTTGACACCGGTATAATTATATAGTCATACGTTCTTTTGAACAACTTCGCAGGACACGAAAATGAATTAGTGCAAGAATTTTTTTATATGTTCTTTTTCTTGCAGTCATGCGTTCTTACTAATATTTTAGTTTGCGATTTGAAGAGTTTTTAACTAATTTTACCGTAAAAACCAGTCATATATCTCAGAATTCAGATCTATAGTCTAGTCTCCTGGTTCATTTCTCTCGAACTCTTGAATATAGTCTTGAGCGTACAGTTATGTTTAACCCTTTCAGTGAAATAGTAGTAGTAGTCATTGTCACTATGTTGCCCCGCTCTTCTTGAGTCATATCGAAGACAATATCCAATATTAGACAGTTCAAAGACCATGTGAAATGCCATGTCAAGTTGTAGGCTCTCTCGCCTCTTTTGCTAGCTTGTTTCGCCACTATTCACCATGGCATAGTCAACATAGTGATAAACTTCACCCCCGTCGAGGCGTTATTTTCTTCAGATAATTATGTTTTCTTCTTATTTTTTTCCTTCTCTTGCCATGGCTGGCTAACGCCCCCTCCTCCATTGGCTTCTGCCATTGGACTGAAATTAAAAACTGTAAGTGCACGAACGCTGTCCTACCGGATTTACATGTACCGGTACATGTACCGGTAGTAGTTTTTCACGATAATAATGTTGTTGTGTACAACAACACCTTGATCTTGCTGGAAATTCCTTACCTCTACCCACTTCTACCGACCTCTACCAGCTTTTACCTGGTACTGGTAGAGCCGGTAGAGAAAGGTAGAATCTACTTTTTGAGTAGAAAAAAGGAACCCATCTACCGAAACTCGGGTATTGAACCAATAATAAATGTAAAAAGGAAAAATGGCAATAAATAAGATAAATTGTGCACTCATAACAACAGCAAAAATGAAGAAAGTCAAGTTCCATAACGTTTTCTTGTGACTGTCATCAGTGGAACGCCGTCACATAAAAATGTAATAACTAAAACACACACTTATATACATGTAGCTAATATGGTTTCAGGTAGAAATACAGCAGCTAACAAATACAAAAAGCGAAGTTTGCACCTTTGCAATGTGTGAATATAGTGTATGTGAGAAAGGTAGTGGCAGATGAATGTGATACTGTGTGAATGAATGTAATGGTGCGTGTGTATTACTTGAAGAGTGTGAGTGATACAACGTTTTCTTTCTGTTTACATAGCACAGGGTCACGAGTACGAATATACACAGCTTCCAACACCTGCAATTGCTTGAAGAAACGTGCGCAACGAATAACACTAAACCAGGAATCGTCAAACACCTTACGACATTCTGGACTGGACACCAAATGCTTGTACACTGCAGACTTCCTCTTGTCAACATCAAACTCCTCCTAATCACTACTCTCATCCTCCACCTCCATTCCAATGCCGCCGTCCATCCCATCGCACTCGTATTCGTCGTCATCAGTCTCCATCTCCTCGCGACACCGCTTCCCTCTCCTTGATTCGTTCTGTGCCGTGCCTGTGCTTCCTCCTGCGTCTCCTTGCCTTGTGTTCTCCACTTGTCTCAGTCGTGCCTCTGCTAGTCTCTTGCTTCTCCTCGGTTCTGCTCTGTTTTCAAGTTGTTCCCCTTCCGCTCTTACCGTTGTAGCAACATGGTTTGTCGAGGAGCGACCGTCCGGCGGCCTCCCTTGCCGTGGTCCGGTTTCCGAGGGGGGAACCAGATTAGTCTGCTCGTTCTCCATGGAAGTAGTCGGTGCTTCTGTTTCCGAATTGTGAGCCGTGCTAGGTGTAGAAATAGGCAGCGGATGTTTTCGTGGTCTCCCACGCTTCGGCCTGCTTAACCTGGCAGCCTGGGACAACAATGATAATGGGACGTGCTGCTTGATGCGTTCGGACAAGTGTTGAAGCGTCCTGCCAACATACCGACTACCACATTGTCGGCATTCAAATTGATAAATGAGATGGCTCAAATGGTGGGTTGGCAGGACGTCCTTCAACACTGTGAACGAACGCACCGTTGTAAAGACAGTAACTACATTCACTGCATAGTATGTCTTTTGCACGATCGATTTCACTGCACGACTGACTTTTGTTGATTCAGAGCCTTTCCAAGGCAGGCATAAGAACACCCGACACGGTGTTGGCCCGATTTTGTGTTCCTTCCGCGGCTCTTTGCTCGTGAGCAGTTTTGCTAAGAGTGATGATGGATATCCATTTTTCAGGAAAACTGAGCGCAGGAAATCGAGTTCAGGTTGTAATTTACTGTCAGAGCAAATGCGTCTTGCCCTATCCACCAAGTTCCGGACTAAATTGATCTTGTACTGGGCCGAGCAATATGAGTCATACATTATATATTGTCCTGTAAACGTAGGCTTACGATAAACCGATGTGACAACACCATCACACGTCCTTTCGACTAAGACATCCAAAAACGACAATTTTCTGGATTCTTCGTGTTCACATGTGAAGCGCAGCGCAGGATGGACATCATTCAATTCAGTTAGAAAGGCTTCACTGTCACGTCTTGATTCGAAATAGGTAAATGAGTCGTCCACAAATCGAACGTACAACTGAGGCCACTTTACTTTATCCATTCTCGACTCGCAATAAGTTATTCGTTGCGCACGTTTCTTCAAGCAATTGCAGGTGTTGGAAGCTGTGTATATTCGTACTCGTGACCCTGTGCTATGTAAACAGAAAGAAAACGTTGTATCACTCACACTCTTCAAGTAATACACACGCACCATTACATTCATTCACACAGTATCACATTCATCTGCCACTACCTTTCTCACATACACTATATTCACACATTGCAAAGGTGCAAACTTCGCTTTTTGTATTTGTTAGCTGCTGTATTTCTACCTGAAACCATATTAGCTACATGTATATAAGTGTGTGTTTTAGTTATTACATTTTTATGTGACGGCGTTCCACTGATGACAGTCACAAGAAAACGTTATGGAACTTGACTTTCTTCATTTTTGCTGTTGTTATGAGTGCACAATTTATCTTATTTATTGCCATTTTGCGACTATTGTCTCCTCGTCGACTGTTTAAAAAGGAAAAAGGACAGAATTATTAGGGCTCAAACGGTCACGGTTTTACCCCTAACGGTTAACTGCTAAGCTAACGGTCGGTTTAACGGTTATAACCTATAAGCCACAGCAATCCTGCGGACTCTTTTTTAACCGTATATTTGACTATACTCATTCAAAAAAGTACCCTATTCAGTACAACGCACACATGTACATTCTCTTGCATGCTCATTCATAATATTATGTACTCTCACACCAAGAGACCAGATATGACCGAGTTGATAGCCCAGAAATTGCGTACGGGTGCGACAGCCTGCGAAAGTGCATACTTTGCAACGACCTGATACTTGAAAAAAAGACTGAAAAGTTACTGCGTAACCGTTATCTTTATGGGTTAACCGTTAATTCTTCGTAACTGGTCTGCAACCGGTTAATCGGACTCACCGTTTGAGCCCTAATAATTATGGAAACGAGTTAAACAGTCAGAAAGTACAACAACTGGGAACAAAACTGACAGAGTGCTGCCCTACCCCACCCTAACCTAAAATAAACAACAACAACCTGTAGATCAAAAGCGAACGCCCCCGTAGTGTCACAGGAAACACAGGTTTCAAAGTCTGAAGAAAAGGTTGGACGGTCTCTGACAAGGGGAATAGCGGTTAGAGCACCGCTGGTCTACAGCGATGCTCCCTGGTTCGAGTCCTGGTGGTGAAAGAAAATTTTCTTCCGACTTTTTTCTCTTTTGGTTCCCTCAAGCTGATGAATATACAGTAATTATATCAGATACATAAAAAATTAAAAATCTATTTTCACCGGGCTGGCAGTTTGAGGATACAGAAGCTGGAAGTGCCACTGTATTGTTATGTGCTGTAAACTTACTTCTGACAAAATTATCGGTAGGCCCTCACTTCTGGGCAACGCTGTTACCGTCTGTATACTGGTAGTGATAATCAGGAAATAGCTGTGAATAGTTTCCTCGGATACACTTCTTCGGATTGTCCATCATGTTCATTTGATTTTGCCTGTCATTCCACCTGACGATAAGGCTTGGAAGTATACTATTGAAACAGAAAAAGGACACAATGTCAGGCTCTTTAAAAAAAATGTCCTTGAATCTCCACATGTGTTGTTCTTCTATCTTGACAGCTCTATCCACATTGACCAATTGCAATAATACCATTACACACCGGAACACGGCAGCAGTCTTCTGACAGATAAAAGCTCAACATTTAATTATTATTAAACATGTAGCAGATGTATGTAATATTATACAAATCTTATGTTCATACTACTAACTACTAACTCGGGCGGAGAGCCAAGGATTAATTTATAAGAAGAAAAGAGGACCAGAGAGCTACTGCTGCTGCGCTACATGTATATTATCCACTAACACCAGCAGTTACATGTACTTTACAATTATTCGATCGTGCTTTTAAACCTTTCTAGGGGCTCTCGTAAGAAGACCATAGGTAGTAGTAGTACTCACGAGTACTCACTAGTAGTACCGTAAAGTACCGTTGATCCGCCCCCTCTCTAATTCCCGCCCCCTGTCGATTTTCTCTTTGTGAAGTGACTTCGGCGTATACAACGAAATACGATGTTGAACCGACGCATGCACTGCTGTACACAATACTTGCCAATCCAGGATGAAAATGTGCACAATCCAGCACATTGAGTCTGATCCTCTACGTTGTTGTACACCGTACTGCACTTGACAGCCTTGATCTAATTCCCGCCCCCTGCCGAAAACCCAGCTGGGAAGCGACCAGGGAGTCGTAAAATACCGGTATTTTACGACTCCCTGGAAGCGACATAGCGTGGGGGCGGATCAACGGTACTTTACGGTAGTAGTAGTGTAGTAGTAGTATTATAATTTAATATTTTGATAGGGAAGGCCCTACAGACGTTGCCGTCTTGTTACAGGGAACCCTAAGTGCTCTTTACAGAGCGAAACAAAAACGGATAGATGCTCAACTTGGCGACACGAGACAGGCAGAGAATTCCACCTATCAGCGCCAAGGAAAGAAATAGAGAACATGCCATATCTAGTGGTAGCAGCGGGCAAAGAAAGTGAAGAGAAGGATTGCCCTCTAGTGCGCCTCTCGGTGCAAGTAGCAGCCGACTGGAGGGTGAACATTGAGGAAAGAAGAGGACTTGTAAGCTTATGAATACAGCGGAAAACAAAGATAAAAAGCCTCAAGTTGAGACGAGATTCGAGGGAGTATAACTTAGTGTGCCGCAAAACAAAGACAGTCGGGGTACGGCGAGGGAGACCAAAAACCTTTATCATGCTGATATGACTTAATGTAACAAGGCGAGAGTATAAAGATTGTGTCAGACAGTGAGCATACGAGTTGCTGGCGTATTCAATAGTGGATTGAATGAGGGATAAATAAAAAAATTCGCTTAGTTGTGTGATCTACTGTACGGCGGCAGCGGCGGAATGCTCCTATCTTCTTATAAACAGATATACATACATGGTTGACTTGATCCTCAAAGGTGAGGTGTTGGTCAATGATAAGGCCAAGATAACGCGCTGTGTCAGAAGGTCGAATATCGACACCACCGCATGCAGTGGTAAGATCCGGCGGAAGAGGCAGAGCATTTTTCCGAAGCACCATGAACTTCGTTTTCTGGGCATTCA